GAGCTGTGCCAGGGGTGGCTTGGGTTGGATATTAGAAAGAATTTCTTTGCAGAGAGGGTGCTCAGCCATTGGAATGGGCTGCCCAGGGAGGGGGTGGATTCTCCATCCCTGGAGGTGTTTAAGGACAGACTGGATGTGGCATCAGTGCCTTGGGCTGGGAACCACAGCGGGGTTGGATCAAGGGTTGGACTTGATGATCTCTGAGGTCCCTTCCAACCCAACTGATTCTATGATTATGATTCTATGATCTCCTGGGTCTGGGCTGAGTTTCCCTGAGGAGTCTGGCAAAAGGGTTTTTCCCACCTTTCAAGATTATCAGAGAGGCAGGGATGGGCTTCGATGGGCCATCAGAGGTCTAATGCAAAGGCCCTGCAGAAGCCTGCAAAAGTCCCTTGGCAATCCTAGAATGCATAAATCCTGAACCTTTTCAGTCTCTGACAGCAGGTAGTGGTGGGACAGGGGGGGATTGGCCTCGAGCTGGAGCAGGGCAGGGTTGGGTTGGATATTGGGAATAAGTTCTTCCCTGTGTGGATGGCGATGCTCCAGAACAGGTCGCCCAGAGAGGCTGGAGGAGGGGCAGCGTGGCAGAAGGGATGGCTGGATTTTGGAGGAACTGGGGAGGGAAGAGGGATCATAAAAGGCAGGATGTTGGGAAAGAACCGACAACTCCTGGCTCAAGAAGAGATCAGAGGTCTGTGAGGTGGGTTCAGTGTAGTGATTTCATCGAACTCCTGCGTGTTCCGTGTTCGGTTTTCTTTTTTTTTTTTTTTCTTTACTTTCATTGCTTTATTTTCATTTTCTGTTTTTCCTTTCTCCTCCCCCTCGTTATGGGGAACAAAACACTTGATTTGAAGGGAGGAGTCAGGCTCCCAGGGACTGGCTGATCCCAGTCTGCTGGGGTGGGAAGGAACAGCCTTTTTTTTTTTTTCTTTGCCTTTGTTCACTTAAAGGAGTTCACTTGCAGGAGTTTTAATGGAAGGGAACTTAATGTCACATTATCCTGTTTTAAAGTTACTGCTTTTTTTAACTCATTTTTCAGTTTATTTGGTACTTTCTGTCTTCATGACATGTCTTTTTGAGCATGTGTATATTTTTGTCAAGTATCTCTGGTCCCTCCTAATGGAAAGTTCTAGTGAAAGTAATACAACTAATATTTTTAAATGTTTATGGGGTAAGTAGATCATGCTTGCTGTTGAATTGATATATCTCCTTAAGTGTTTTAGCTGTAAGTCATCAGGATTTGCTTGTTACCTTTTATTTAGAAGTTTTTCACTTAATCTTAAAGTAGGATTTGAGTTGGGTGGTCTGTGGGAAGAGTTGTTTCTGTGGGAAATGTTTCTGAGATAATTTTAGCTGAATGGCATTTAAAATTAGACCATTCAAGGAAAAAATAGGGTTGATTAATTTCTTCTTTTGATGGTGAGATGGTTTCTTTTACCTCCGTGAAGATTTTGTTGTGAACGATAGATTGGTTCCTTCTATATAATGAAGAAAAAAGTGATAAATCTCTATCTCTAAATGGTTAAATGATGATATGCTGGAAGTGTTTCCTGGCTTGCAAAAGGATTATTGTTTTCCATCTTTTAAATATCTCTATTATGAGGAATTTCTGGTGATTATTAGTGTGGCTTTTGAGTTTTCATATGTCTGAACTGTTTCAACAGACACCTCTTGGAGAAACGGTTCACAGAATAAGTCTGGACATGTTCAGTCTTTGTGAGCCTTGAGTTTTGTTCTGATTCATTGAACTTTTATGTCGTTAAGTTGTTTTTAATGAGCAATGACTACTGGCACGAGGTATTTAAGTGTGCCTACATTTGATTTAACTTGAGGAATGGTTATGTGAGACATCCCTCTGGCTGGAGGGAGGTCCCTCAAATGGGTGGATTTGTGCTTTTCCAGGGTGTCTTCCAGCATTTTGTACCTAATGGTATAAAATACTTCTCTGGGGATCATAAAATAAGCATTTTTTGAAGCACAGACAGTTGCTAAAACTTCATGTGTAAAATTAATAACTCCTTTTTTTCACGTTGGAGTTTCTGGTAGTTCAACATAAGCCTAATAATGAATCAAGCAAGATTTAAGGGTTTAGGGAGCTGCACCTCATTTTTGGGTTCCAGGGCTTGAAAAGCTTCCATCCAGACTGGTATCTGTGTGGCTGTGTCCAATATGAGGAATGTATGAAACAGAAATTAAAATGAAATAAAATTTAGCTATGTTAATTTAGCTACGTTAAGTGTGACTTTGCAAAATGTGAAACTGCTTAAAAGTTTCTGCCCAAACTGTGGGCAAATTAAGATAAAAATAGCTCAGGGAACAGGGAAGGCTTTTTTAGCACGTAGACAGGGGTGGGGAACCTAAAACTGCTTGAAATGATAAAACTCTATAGTGGTAAGAATAGGAGGTAGAACTAAGTGTCTATTTAGATAAGGCAGGCTGCAAAAAGAGCGTGTGTACAGATAATTTTAAACTGTAATTTAATTTTAAATTTTAAAGCTGTGGTATTCCTTTGCTCAGTGGAGTGCACTGGGGGAAAACATCTGCCCCTTTTGCATTCCCCGGCCGTAATAAAAGCGCTTTTCAGATTGTTCAAAGGTTTCTTTGGACTCGGAGCTGCACCTCATTTTTTGGGTTCCAGGGCTTGAAAAGCTTCAGCCCAGACTGTCTGTGTGGCTGTGTCCAATATGAGGAATATATGTGTGTGTGTTTTCCCACCGTTGGGACTTAAGAAAATTGTTGAAAATGAAAAACCTTCTTGGCTCAATCACGAGCCAGCGCGGGCACAATTCGGTGCCCGAGGTGTGGGGTTTTAATTCCGTGGGAAAGAGTGGAGAGAGGATTTTGCAGTCGCTGGTGTGGCTTCCTGGGTGTGACCATCACAATGAAGAATGAAGCCCTGTTTTCTACCTTGTTGCTCAGGAACTGTTTGCTCAGTAACTGTTCAGTGGCAGCATTGAATCCCCGGAGCTGTGAAGTGTAAATTCGGTTTCAGGTCTTGTGTAAATTCGGTGTCAAGTCTTGGATGTGAAGCTCCAGGGTTGGAAATGGAGCTGCATCACGAGGTCGACCCTTTCTTGTCCTTGGGATCCAGTATTTCCAAATGTATTTCCATATATTTGCATTTCTGAGATTGGCAGGGGTTGGACTTGACTTCAGCTCTGCAGTTTTGAAGTTGCAAAACTTCTTCCCGCAGAATTCCCCCGGTGGAACTTGAACTTCCAACAGGGATCTGTTATTCCCTGCAAAAATTTTGGTTTCTGACTGATAAGGACTAATATCAACTCTAGTTCTGTAGCACAGGCTGATTTCTTTAGCCTGGAGTTTAATAGTTATAATATGATATCGTGGAGTCAGATCAGATCTTGCAGAACTTCAAGATATGTTTGTTTGAAGTATCTTTCCCCTTTATGGGATTAATAAAATCCTGCACTATTTAACAAAAATATCAAATTCACGGGATAATACTCAGGGGTGGCTTTTTGAAAAACTTGTTGGTTGTCTCAGTTTTCGATATTGTACATTTTTAACATCTGTTTATAAAGGAAAATGTGAGTTCCAAGTGCCTTTTTTTTTTTTTCCGTATTTCAAGTGATGATCATCTTGTTTAAAATCCTTTTTTCTCGTTACAGACCAAAGTCATCAAAACAAACGAAAGCAAAAACCCAAACCTGGTGACTCTGAAAAAATGAGGTAAAAAAATGCTATTTATTTTGAAATTTATGATTACTTTGAGTTATTTTATGTAGCACTTAGAAAGGACTTAATGTCCCTTGAACTTGCTGCTTTTTCTGTGTTTTTTTGCATACTGGTAGCTGGGTGAAGTTCCCAAAATTCCAGTTTTCACAAAGAACCAGAGTTATAACTTGAAAATTAAATATTTTCCCTAGCTGAGTGGAATTTTAGTCAATGAATGACTTTTACTTAGTCTTTAAGTTGTTTGCAGGCTTGAATTTTTCACTTAATTCAATAATTTCACTCAAATCAATATCTAATTTCAAGCACATAAATACCCCTTGTAGGGTAAATGAATGTAAATGAGTGTGTTTGGTGGTTTAGGGCCAAAATTAAATTAGTTGAGATAAAAAGCACTATAGATTTTTATGGGTGAAATTTATGCTTCCACCTGTTAGGAGATTTAAAACAGAAGTTTTAGCAAAAGAAATCCCTATTTCCAGTGATACTGGGGCAAGGGGGGAGCTGTGACTGCACTTTCTTCTTTTCTGCTTCTCCAGCTGGAGGTTTTTGGTTGTTTTTAGGGTGGTTATAAACACTTGGGGGTACAGCAGAACAAGGTATTTACTTTGAAATAGGAAAATTTCCATTAAAGGATAATTTTTCAAGGCAGATTTCGCAGGTGGAAGAGTCCAAGCCTTTAGGAAAGGTTGGAGCTTATTCCCAATCTTAATCTAAGTGTGACCACAAATTCAGCTGCCTTTTAATCTGTGTTTATTGCAGTACAATCCTGTTGTTTTCCCATAACTTTTGGAATGCCCCCTTAGCCAGGACAATGGAAACTTTGTCACTTTGTCATTTTTATTTCACTGAACTGGATTTCTCCTTTCACCTGAAGGAGGGGAAGTGTTATAATTTATTTTGGAACAGATCCTTCTTAAAGCAGCTGAACCATCTCCAAAAATTGCTTCTCTCGTGGGGAAGATGAGCAGACCTGTAAAAATCATGCTGTTGCTTGAAAATAAGTTTATATTTAAAGGATGTTTATAAACTCCTGATGCCATTGTCCTGTTTTTTGTAGGGATCACCTTGATTTGAAGAGAGAGTCTAAGGCCATGGAAGATAAAGGCCTCTGTGCTGTGCCACAGGTAACTGGAAATTCAGTGGGATATGGCCTTAAATGTGAATTATTTGGTGCCTTTTAGTAACACTGTGCAAAATCTTGGTTTGTTCCTAAATTTAAGACTTTGTGCTGAGCATGACTATGATCAGGAGGCAAAGATTCTGTGGTTACACTGATTTATTGCTGTCTTGTTGCTTCTCCTCCTGTAATTAGAGTAACAAAACTCAGTCTAGTCATAGACTGACTAAGCTAAAACCACGAGTTTACAGCTCCCCTGTATCTTAATTTGTAAGAAAAAGGACAAATATTACTGGGAATAAATCAGGGATTTATAATACCCCTCCCAAAGTTCTGACTGAAAACAGGTTTTCTTGTGTTTGATAAATATGTTTGGAAATAATCATGGGACATTTTGTTGGGTGGCTGTTTCAAACACGGTGCAATTCATATTTTCAGTGAGAATTTTCCTCCTCTGGTCCTACCAGCTGCCAAAATTCTTGGAAGGAAATCGTGGGAATGCACATAATTAATCATTTGATCTCTGTTAGTTTTGGGGATGCAGACACCAAAAATCTCTACTCTGATTAATTACCTCACAAGACAAAACTGAATTCAGGAGAAGGTTCAAGTTCTACCTGCACTAAGACCTTTTATTTCCTTCAAAATACCTATTTTTGTTTTGCCAATGCATTACAAGTATCAAAAGGAGCATTTTAATTGGCTTAATCAGCTTCTAATGTGGTGTAGCTTAACATCAAATTAATATAATTTGTCCTGTTTTATGACTACATGCTCTTAACAGCATTAACTCAGTAGTTCTAGGAAATTAAAATAAGTGTTCATTATTTACTGTCCCTGCTGGAAATCCCTGCAGACTCCAGGAAGTATCAATATACTTGATATTTGAAAACAAAATAACAAAATCACTCTGAAACCTTCTAGCACTGGACAAATTAACTGAGCTGGACAGAAAGTGTAGCAGAAGGAAACAGTTCTCAGGTTTTCCAAAGACGTTTGTGCACAAAATGGGAGTGTAAAAGTGAGGAAAAAGCAGAAGTCTGGGTTGTGGTTTTGGGGTTCTTTTAATGTGTAAGCAAAATTAAAACGGTGCTTGAACTAAACTTGAAGCTTTGTGGAGAGAAAAGGATCTAAACTTAGAAGAAAAACTGGGGTTTTTTATAATGGGATTAGCAGCAGAGATTTTAGATTTTAGAAGTAAAATTAAAAATTTTGTAAAAACAGTGCTCTAACAGTGGAATTGTGGTAAAACTGTAGGAAGTGGAGAATTTCCAGTTGTCTCTTGGATAAGTATTTTAGCAAATTGCTTGCTTTGACAAAAGAAAAAAAAAAAAGGGGAATACTGTTTTCCTTTGGACTTACTGCCTTCCTAAATATTGCAGATGGATTTCAATACAGAAGATGTAAAAAACCCCAGGAACAAGGGATTTACAGCCTCCCTGGAGGAGTGTCCCAGTGATAAACCCACCCTTCTACCCACGTTGAGAGCTTTAGGTGCTGCAGAACGTGAGGTAAACTGGGAGAAATGATAATAATTGACCGGAATAATTCGAATTTGTGCCTTCAGCAGCCCGTTTCCCCTCTCTTCTTCCCACCAGAATAGTGTTTGTTGTCGAGTTGTTGGCTTGCAGGGCCAAGTGTTTCACTGAGAATTGTGCCAAGGAGCTGAGAAATGAGAATAGAATTAAAATGAGAACAGAATTAAGATGAGAACAGAATTAAGATGAGAACAGAATTAAGATGAGAACAGAATTAAGATGAGAACAGAATTAAGATGAGAACAGAATTAAGATGAAAACAGAATTAAGATGAAAACAGAATTAAGATGAAAACAGAATTAAGATGAAAACAGAATTAAGATGAAAACAGAATTCAAATGAAAACAGAATTCAAATGAAAACAGAATTCAAATGAAAACAGAGTAGCACAGGGTGTATTTTTGGTGATCTTCAGCCTAAATGTGCATTTCTAAACACGACCTGAAAATATTTACTGACATAATGTGCCTCTAAAAAGTTTAGAAAAAAAAAGGAAAAGGCTGTTTTCTTGTGGATTTACTGTCTCCCCAGGTATTCCAGGTGGATTTTAATGCCTTGCCAGAAGGTGTCACGTCCCTTGCTCGTGATGGTTGCACAGCCTTGATGGACCAGCAGTGTCACAGTGCAGAACAGGCCTTCTCACAGCTGCTCAGCATTCTGTATACTTCAGAATTTAGGGTAAACTCCCAGGAATAACTTGTTTTTTTTAGAGTAATTTTATTTAGAGTAATTATTTTATGCATTCAGCATCTGCTTTGTTCTTTGCTTCCCCCAAAATAGTCTTTATTATTGAGTTGTTGACTTCAATGCCAAGTGTTTCACTGGTAGTTGTGCCAAGGAAATAAAATAAGAACAAGGATAAAACCCCCCAGTAATTACCTAGGATGTGTTTTTGATAATGTTCAACATAAGTGTGCATTTCTAGATGCAATGTAAAAAATACTTACCAAAATCATATTTTTGTTAGAGTAATATAAAGTACATTGACCAAATACTCTTGTTTTTTTATAAAAAAACCAGTCTGTTGGTGGTTGGACTTGATGATCTTAAAGGTCCTTTCCAAGCTAAATAATTCTGTGATTGTCAGATTAACCTTTATCCTTAATGATGTAGGGTGAAAGTGATTTTTATTCTTCAAGTTAGATAACTCCTTGATGGCAAATACTGTGAAATTTGGTGTCTGTGTATCTATGTCCAATCAGATATTGACCCAATTGTCATCCTGGATTTCTTTAAATTAATATATAACAGTTTGCACAATGGTTTTGTTTCTGCTGCCACTATGATTTGACTTTCTTTTTTTTTTTTTTTGCAGTGTCTGAATATTCATAAAATTAATTATGCCATAATCATCTATGGACATGCCACTGCCCTCCTGGGAATAGGACAACCTGAGGTAGGACATGAAGCCTGGTTTTATCTATTTTTTATTGAAATACTGCTTTTATTTCGACCTCTAGCTCAGGCAGCTGCCCATCCATTTTTATCTCTTCCTAAGAGACAGAAAATGGGTGGGGAAGGAAACCTGGTGACACAATTTGGAATTGTACACTGGGACTAGATCCTTAATGACTTTGGATAACTAAAGCTACCAAATAAAATGTATTTTTTAAGCTTTCAAATGAGATTCTGGTGTTAAGAAAGTAATTATTACATATATATATATATTACATTATATATATACATATTATTACATATTATATATATTACATTATTATATTGTTATATATTATTATAATATATATAATTCATATATTATTATTATAATTGTTTTTTTTTCTTCTACTTTGTAATGTGGGTCTGCACCAGTGTTTTGAAGACAAACATTCAGCTCCTAAAACAGGAGACAGAGTTTGCTTTTTTTGTTCTGGAGAACACCAAAATACTTTGCTGTTTTCCAGAAGCAAAGGCAAACTCTGGATTTGTTTTGTTTTGTTGTTTTGTTTTGTTTTGAAGTTGGTTTGGGGTTTTCTTCCTGCAGTGTTTTATAATATTCAGTGTCTTAAAATGAATTTAAAAACCAATTTAAAAGCCATTTAATTTCATTCTTTCAGAGGGAGTCTGTGTTTACAGAATAAGTTTCTTTTTTTTTTAAAAAAGGGGAAGCTTTTCCTGTGATCATAAGATTGTGTAATTCCATTTACTGCTCATAAGACTAATGAAAGAATAGGGCACCCTGACCCACTGTAATGGGGAAAAAAAAAGAGAGGAAAAGTGGAAAACTTATGGAAAAGCACCGTTTATTTGTGTCTTACATTTCTTTTGAAGGCATTGGCAAAAGCTGAAGACCAGTTTAAGAAAATAATTGAAGAATACCGAGAAGAAAGATGCTTTTGTTTGGCACACTATGGAATTGGGAGGGTTTACCTCAGGCAAAACAGGTTGGTGTGATGGAAAACTTCAGGATTTGGTAGGAGAAAAAAAAATCCTTTCCTTTGAGGAACGAGGCGTGGTGGGGTTTTAATTATTCTGTGTCAATCAGTGAATTCTTCCATCAGGCTGATTTTAGTGTCAATCAGTGAATTCCTCCATCAGGATGGTTTATTACAACTTGGAGTTTGGTTTTTTACAACTTGGAGTTTGTTCCTGCCGAGGAACTCACGGAAGCTGCAGAATAATCCAGCGGATTTGAGGGAACAGGGATAGGACTGACCAGCTCATCCCTGCAGTGGTGGGGAGGGGGGAGAGCTCTGTGGGAGAAGAACAAAAACCTTTGTGTTCTTGTGGAAAAAAATGTAGTGTAAAGAAAACTTAACTTATCTAAGGCCTGGGGAGGCCGGAGAGTGACCTTGGGCTGAGATAAGGCGGCTGCCCCAGTGAGTCACCGCATTCCCTGGGACAGATAACAGGGATGTTTTCCTGTTTTCCTGAGCCAAAACACCAGAGGGAGGTGAGGGGGAGTGTGAGGTGCAGAAACAGGGCAAGTAACGAACTCCAGAGCTGCTTCAACCCACGTATTCCTGGTGGGTTTTCTTCCCAGCATCCCGAAACCGGGAATCACAGCTGTCGTGGTGCAGCTCCGTGTGGCGATTGCTGTGTGTAAAGCTCGGGTTGTGATTTTTGGTGCTTCGCCGCTGCTCTGTGCGATCAAAATCCACCAGAGAGCTTGTGGTGGGGTGAGAGACCTTCATCCAGCTCTGCTCCCGCTCCCCCTCCTCAGCAGGAGGTGGAAAAGCTCTGGGATTGAGATAAAGGCAGGGAGATGATCACTTGCTGATGAGCCACGGGCAAAGCAGAGTCAACGTGGGGCAAAACAACTTGTTGTCCCTTAAAATAGAGTTGAATGGTGGGGGGAAAAATGTAGAACTACTAAAATCACTTTCTCCTACCCCTTCTTTATCCCAGGCTCGACTTCACTCCCTTGTTCCCTCCTCCTCCCCTGAGCAGCCCAGAGGGATGGGCCATGGGGGAGCTTTTTTCCCCTTACTCCCCACAGCCCTGCAGTGTGTTTTGTCCTTCCTTATCCCTGTTTTCCCTGAGGTGCTTTGCCTGAGGGGCTCTGCTGTTCCCTGTGGTGGGTTTGTTGTATCCAGCTGGATCTGGGGCAGCCCTGGCTTCTCCTCAGGGAATGGTCCCCACCTCCCTGCTCAGCTTTGCCATATAAAGCCAGTACAATGCCAAATTAAGTAAGTTTTGATATTAAACCTTAACCCCTCCTCGTGTGGAACATCTCAAAGCACTGGGCAGAGTGGGTTGGATGCTGAGAGGGGATTCCTGCTTCCCACTGTTGGGTGCAGTCTGTGGTCCAGGAGCTGTCTGCATCCCAATCCCATGGTTGTGGCTCTTCTTTCCTTGGCAGTTTTGACCCAAAAAGTTGCCTGCACAGGTGACAACACCCCAGGCAGGGCTGCTCCCATGTCTGCACTGCCTGAACTCAGGGAACACCCTGAGTCCCGTGTCCCCTCCCTGGCTGAGCAGGGTTGAAGGTCACTCCTGTGCACACACAGGTCCTCACTCTGCATTCCCAAGCACTCTCACATTCGTGGATCCCTGGAATGTCAGCACAGGCTCTCAGTCTGCCTCGTATCCGTGCCCAGATGCTGAGCCCTTTACCTGGCTCACAGCTTGAATCTTTTATCCCAGGGAGTCCTTAAACAGGGAATTTATTGAACCAGGTGTTCTCTCACCCCACATACTCTCCGTTGCCGCTGTTTGCTGCTCGGATGGTAAAATGAATCATCAGAGACTGTGTAGAAGTTGCTCTCAGAGGATCTGAACACTCTGTGCCTGTTTCCAACTCCAGATTTGCTCATGCACTCGATCAGTTCCTGAGATCAAAGCTGATGATTGATTTGAAGATTGTCCCGGGGGTGTTGACGTGGCCGGCGACAACTCGGGTCATCGAGGAGACTCAGACAGAGAGTTTGCAGGTGTGTTTAACCTCCTCCTCCTCCTCCTCCTCCTTCTCCTCCTCTTCCCTGCCTCCCACCACCCACATCCAAGACAGATGGAGGTGAAATGGAAATGTGGGAAGCATCCCATTAACAGCATAAGAGCAGGAGCTCTGGGTCAGGCTCTGTGCTTGGGGATTTCTGTGGAATATGGTTCTGATCTGCTCCAAGTATTTCCTGATTTCTTCAGGGAAGAATTTCCTCGTGGAAAGGCAGGGAGGTGGTAGAGTGCCCATCCCTGGAGGTGCCCAAGGAACAACTGGACGTGGCACTCAGTGCTCTGGGCTTGGGGGACAGGGTGGGGATTGGGCACAGGGTGGAGTCTGATCTTGGAGATCTTTTCCAGCCTCGATGATCCTGTGATGATGGATGAACTCCTTCGTTGCACGTCACCAAAGTTCTAAGTTGTGAATGCACAACACAGTGCCGGAGAGAGCTGGTTAAAAATTGGAATTGGCAAAGATGTGAAGTGGAAAATGGCAGCAGTGGGGCCGTGTTGAAAACCAGACAGGGGGCTGGCACTGTGTCGTTTTGGGTTGAGGCAAAACTCCCCCTTTGACTTGAAAATTGTGCCTCGTGGATGTGGCACCACGAGGGGCAGGAGCTGCCCTGCAGGGAGGCACTTTGGCCCAGGAGAGCTTTGGAGGTTGTTCAGTGTCTGAGCTTGGCTGGACCTGTTTGGTTTTGGGTGGAAGCAGCAGCTCTGTTGTTTCCTAAACAAAAACCGACCCGAGGATTTCCCAGAGACCCCCCCTCAGAAATCTGGTCACAGTGGTCTGGGACCTCTGGAGAGCACAATGCAAATATCTGGCAGGGTTTGCTAGAGGTCTGTTTGTTTTTAATGGTGTTTTATTACTCTGGACTCAATGCCAGCACTGTGGCACTTGCACTGACTCTACATAAATCCACTTCACATAAATCTGACTTTCCCTCAGAGAATATTCTGGGAGAGAACTCCCTGGCTCTACAGAGCTGTCCCTGGGATTGTACTTGATCCTGTAACCCAGATCCCAAGTGAGACATACTCTGGGAAGCTTCAGAGATGAGCAAGACACTCCTTTTTTATCATATTATCTCAGTTAATCTGGCTCTCCTTTTTGGCAGTGGGACACTTCCTGCAGTTGGGATTGCTCAGGGTGTAAAACACGGGTCCAAGATAAACCTGCATGTTTGGTTTTTTTTATGTGAGTACTCAGCTGACAGCACTTCAAACAAGCTTGGGAATATTTTGGCCATAAAAGGACAATTTTATGTCTTTCCACTTAGAAGAGAGTTGTTCCTCTGGTATTAGTCAGCTGCTTTTCCGAGGGAGATCCATGTCTGGCTGCAGAATTCCCCAGGAGCCTGTAAGTACACCCTGAGTTTTCCCTGATTTCCATGCAGTTTGCCTCACATCCCTTTTGTTGTTTTTTTTTTTTCTCAGATGGCTTTAAGGAATTGTATTGAGCAGTGCAAGTTCCCTCCAGAACCAGATGCTGTCTGTCGGTATCAGCAGTGCCACGGCCACTCCAAAATCCAGATATTTTTTACAGACCCAGACTTTAAGGTAAATTTTGAGGGCAGAGGTGAATTTAAAAGGGTTTGAGGAGTAAAACCTCACGCTTGCACGGTTTCTGCCGCCTTCCCTGTCCCCTGCTGTCAAGCTGAGCACTGTTCTCTGCTGTGCTTTTCCTTGAAAATGTTAAATTTGTCCCATTTCTCGTTGTTAGGGTTTTATACGTGTTATTTGCTGTCAGCAGTGCAGGGTGGAGTTTCATATGAGCTGCTGGAAAAAGTTGAAAACGACGAGCTACAGTGATAAAAATGATAAGGTAAGAGCTTTGGCAGGCCACAGGCATCTTTAATCAAGTTTATATTATTATATTTTATTTATATTATACTTAACATAATTTTATAAACTACAGTATCAGCAGCCTGTGTGAAACGAAGGGAAATCAGGCAACATATGCAGGAATAAATGCATAAATACATATTCTGAAAATTGATTTTTTTTGAGTATGAAGTTGGAGGAGGGGCTTTGGGAATAACAGGGACGTGCCACAGACCTTCCTGGATTTTTTTATTCGATTTTTTTTTTTTTTTTTTTTTATTTTCCCCCAATTAAAAAACTGTGTTTTGTGTAAGAGCACAGCTGGTGTTTGTGGATTTAAATCTCTTTGGTTTGTGTGTTTTCTCCCACAGGATTTCCTTAAGGAATTGTGTTTTACTCCCGATTGTAAAGGCCTTATTTCAAAAATAACTATTTTCAGTTCTTCTGGTGCAGTAAAATGTGAAGTAAGTACGTTCATATTTTACATGAAAGTAATCTTAAAAATATTAGGGAGATAAAGTGAAGATGAGAATTTAACTGCACAAAAAAAATTAAGTTGTGCTGTCTTAACTGTGGGATCTGAGCATTATTCAGGAATATCAATTCCCTGTGTTACCTTCCAACCTCTCTTTCCTGCTGATAGAGGTGCTCCATCCCAACTTAGAGCAGCAAAAGATAATTTTAATTAGACCTTCAGGAGGTTTATTTAGGCTTCCTTTTCTCTTTTGTAGTATTTTTACTGTTTTCCAAAGGTTTCTGGGGTTTGGGTGCAGCCACGTTGGCCTTGTAAACCCAAATTTAATTAATTTCTCATCCCTTCTTTTGGTAGTTTGAACTAAAAATCACAAAACCCAAGGGACCACCAAGGGCCTGTATTAAACAGAGATGTTCAAGGTAAGGTCTCTGCTGTTTTAAATCAATTTGAGAACAAACCAGTGCTCTCTAGGACTGATTTTCGTGCCTTTTTGAGAGTTGCTAAAAGAACACCAATCCTTTGGAAAGACTGTTCTTGGCCTTTTGATAAACTAAAAAGGCTGGTAAAGTACATTATGATGCAATTATAAAAGCATTGAAATTGTTCCACAGGATTTACTGCCTCAGCAACTTTGTGTAAGTGCTTAAAAAGTGTAAATAAAACCTTTATATAATGTTGCTCCTTCAGTTATTGATGCACATCCCTTCGACATAACCGAGTTTTTGGTCAAGTAAGGTTGTAAGTGATGCTGGGTGGAGAAACAAAATCAACTTTTAAAAATGGAAGAAAAATTTAAAAATCAACGAAAAACTTAAAAAATTTAAAATTTAAATTTTA